AATCAAGTCTTTGCATTTAAAGGGATATGAGAATATTTTTAAATAAAATGCTTCGTACAATTTAGGGTTTTGATAAATGAAAATCCATAGTGTTTGGGAGATTTTCATTTCTTATAAAAGTGAATGAAGAGATTTAAAGGTCGATCTCACCCGAAGTTGACGGCTGATTCACGTTGCACTGTAGCCATTTGGCTTTAATACAGCGTTAAGCTCCATAAGACGCCCTCCCTCGTATCCTGTGAAAACGGGCTCAGCTTTCGCCAATCCCATGATTGACAATATCAAAGCTAAACAAAGTAGTAGTAGTAGTGTGAGGCTAGCGGATAGCAACCACTTTAATAAAGAGTTGGAATGCCTGAAAGCTTTATTCCTGAAAAATTATTATCCTTTGGGCCTAATAGAAGCTAATATCTCTATACTCAGGAAAAGATTTTTAGACAGAGATTATTTATCGCATTTAAGTATTGTTTCGAGACTACGTTTGCTTCATCGACAATCCCACTAAAGAATATTATATGGCAAAAGGCCTGGCCTTCCTTGAAATTCACATTTGCGTTATGACCTAAAGGCACTCGTGGCAATGTGGCCGAGTGGTTAACATGTCAAGCCCTCATTCTGCACTTTCACGGTTCGACTCCCTCTGTGGGTGTTGATAAGACCGAGACGAGGTCGAAACTGCAGTCCACTCCAGCCGGGATGAGAACAATTTTTGGGAAAGCAATGCTATGTGAAATTGGATGGAAACGTCAGCTCTACTCATATCATTGAGGGAAAATTATTCTATCAATCCTTCATCACCTTAAACGAAATTGAGGGAATAAATCTCATATTTGAGATTATTTAGTTAAAAATAGGCAAGCTGAGACCTTTTCTGATGTTCTAATTTTGCTGTCATGCCTTCTTTCTAAAAAGTAAGGCGAACTGGTGACAAAATGAGGAATAAAAACAGTGGTCAAAGTTACAATTACACTTTCTTCGGTTATGCCAGCTTCTAGAGAGAAATATGTTCCGTTATCGAGATCTAGCTGCTACAAGATTGTGTGCTTCTATGGTCGACATTATGTTGGTGATACATGCCGGCCTACTCGACAAAGATTGGGGGAACACAAAATTTCTTGTAAATGAAGTTGGATCCAACGGTTATAAGTGGCCGAACGCATGGCAGAGACTGGACATGTGATAGAATGATCTCAAACAATTATGAAACATGAGATTCATCGACACCCAACTTTTCTTCACATATCAAGCAATTAAGTTTGCCGATTATGGTTCGTCTGTTGTTAAAAGTTAGATAAGAGAGCTATTGAAATTCATAGATTAGGGAGTACTTTGAATGTGAATAATGATGGTATAAGATTGAGTAAGAATTACTTATGCTTGATTAAAAGAATAATTGAGAAAAGAGTGTGATGAGCCGTGATCTAAATAACGATGACCCAAGGAGGGTTTTCAACTCACTCATACTCATCCGACATATTGGATTAAGCTCATCAACCAAACCAAACGTGCAAGATTACGCAGCCTCAGTCATGCTTTTCCTCGGATTATTAAACCTTGATGATCCTAGATTGAGGTTAGGACTTGAAAGCTCACATCTCATTATCTCAACCGGTCAGGGCTTTTTTATTGGGTCATTAAGCCTTAATGACCAGAGCCTGACACTGGCCTTTTTTGATCACTCTAATTTAGGATCGGCATAGCGTATATACGTTAATACACACACGTTCGAGTAAAAGTAGTATGACCAATATAAAAGTTCACTAGCCAAACCATTATATATGTATCTATGCTTACTCATTTTCGCTATTTAGTTATGAGGATAATCTGTTTGGTCTAGTATTAACGTGAGAGTTAGAAGGATGAGTTTCAGCTCTGATGGTGTCCGTCATGTGATGGACGAAAGCCCGAAACGAGCGAGTATGTCTCGTAAACTGCGTCAATCTGAACGTCGAATTAAGGCACAACGTCTGCAGAATAGCAAGAATCGGCCGTCGTCTTCTGGTGAGATCGACCTTCGAATCTCTTTTTCATCCACTTTCCTACTGAATTAAAGTCTCTTCTGCAATTTTATGTCAGTAAATTAATAGAAGCCGACTTATTCTTCGTATATGAATATTCTTAAATATTAGATGCTGAGCGACAAACTTTCTAATTTTATTCATCTCATTAGACCCTATAACTAACTTTTTTGGCCAAATTATGTAACCTTATGATATTTTATTGTAGACCCTGTGCCATGGTAGTTCCCGATTTCGAGCTAATCTGCGAAATTATGCTTGTAGCTGAAGGATTTCTGGATGCCCGCCTGCTGGCTCGAAAATTCATCACTCTCTATCAGTTATGTAAAGAGCTGCTCTCAAAACAGGATCATTATGACTGGGGTCTGAGGGCCATTAAATCCGTCCTGGTTGTAGCTGGTTCCCTAAAGCGCGGAAATAAGGAGATGGCGGAAGAGTCAGTTCTTATGAGAGCCCTTCGCGATTTTAACACACCCAAATTTATTACAGAAGACATGCCCGTTTTCCTTGGATTAATCAAAGACCTCTTCCCTCAACTGGAGGCCCCACGCAAAAGGAATATGGAATTCGAGGCCATTGTAAAAAATGCAACAGAGAGTTTAGGATTACAACCGGAAGATTCTTTTGTATTAAAGGCAAGTTTGATGTATCATCAATTAATATCATCCAAGCAAAATGAGCATCGATAAAGAGTTCAATTATGCTTACCTTTTTTCGTATTTACTTGGAAATATTTTCCCATTTTCAGGTTGTGCAGCTTGAAGAACTACTTGCAGTCAGGCATTCTGTTTTCATCGTTGGAAATGCTGGTGCAGGAAAGTCAAAAGTATGGAGAACACTTGAACAAACTAATAAGCTAATGAAGAAAAATCCTATAGCTATTGACCTTGATCCCAAAGCAGTTACCAATGATGAGCTCTTCGGCATTATTAATCCTTCAACAAGAGAATGGAAAGATGGTAAGCCCAAATTAACGCCAGTAATAGTTCACATTTGGCAATAATATAGACTATAAAAAACTTTAAATCCTTAAAGTCCTTGTATCATTTTGATACTAACCGGAGAAAACCCAGCTACTCAGGTTCTCTTCATTTCTTCCCTTTCTCTGAGATGCCTATGCTCATTTGACAACAACGAAGAAAAGAATATCCATGTCATAAATTGATGATATTAATGCTCATGCTTGTCTGATCTAAATTGGTTTATAAGTATGTTTCATCGGAGCATAATGAGAAAACGAAACAATTATATGCCAATTAAGCATCATATATATTTTAAAGCTAGCCTTTTGTTCCTTTGAGCCCCAAAGTATAGATATCTAGCCCCCTTAACTCAGATTTATCTAAATCGAGTAGCAGTGGATTTATTACTTCTCTTGTGGACCATTTTATTTCTCTCTCTGGGCTAATCCAAGAAAAGTGTTTCGCTTAAAATTGGCTCAGACTTGATCAAAACATTTTCTAGATTATTAATAATTATTTAGCTTTTTAGTGATGCAAACTTTTAAAATGGAATACATAACAGCACAAGAGTTAATGTGTATGAAGAGAGAGCATTAGGTACACAACTCTAGCTCATTTTTAATGGTATTTTATAGTAAAAAATACTTTTTTTGTGTAGTCTGGTTTATTTTGGCAAAAGTGCTTTTTAACTAACTCACTCTAGTCAGCTTAGGTCGTTTAACGCGACATAAGGAATGACATCTGCATTTCCCACAGCAAAATTAATAAAAGGCCTCAAGATGCCATTGAATTTCATTAACCCTTTCCTCCTGAAAGGCTTTCTAATCTAAGACGGACTGCATTTTCGACTTTGCTTGGGTAATAGCATAACCCCAAACAGAATTCGAAGCTGGATCGTGCACGACAAGTTGCAAGATT